TGTTGCTTTTCAAATGCCTAAAACTCAAAACTTTTTTAGTTGATTAAAAATTTTAAACCGTAACTTTTATTCTACTTTATCTGCTCTATCATTCTTACGGATTAGTTTTTCTCCAAACCCTCTAATATAAAAGCCTTAGAGTTTTGAAAGTTGAGTATTTTATTTCGGTCTTTAGGTGTCTTGCACCATATTTGGTAAACTCGTCTGGAAGGCGAAAACGTTTAACTGGCAGCAGAGGTAATACAAAAGTCACGCTCCTGCAACAAAATTGAGGCTGTTGGAATAGTTCTGAAAAATACAAAAATGGCTCGTCGTTCATTGCTTTCATTAAGCCGTTTGTTAAGACGCACCGTTTTACACGAAACTCGCCCAATACCGCATTTTAGCAGATCAATATATACCTTGAGCCTTAATAATGGTCTTCCACAACCGACAACACTTAATAAAATTGAAAGTAAATTCATTGGAAGTTTTGTGGCTCACAATTACCAACAAAGTATGCTCTGCATTTCCAACCTTGACTTTCAAGTTTATCATGTTTTCGATGCTGTTCTCATCTCAAATCTCATCGATAATAGTCCGAACAATGTTCATTCAAACGGAAACCACTCCAAATCAAGACTCGTTGAAATTTATTCCAGGAGTACAGGTAATGCAATCGGGCGGTACTGCTGAATTTTTGTCTATTCGCGAAGCCATGACTTCTCCCCTCGCCAAAAAACTTTTCACGATTGAAGGTGTGACCGGAGTCTTCTTTGGACCCGATTTTATAACAGTGTCCAAGGACACCGACACACCTTGGCAGATTATGAAACCAGACATATATGCCAATATTATGGACTTTTTCGCATCAGGACAGCCCATACTTACCGAAGAGCAAGCACCATCTGATACAACCATTCTACCTGATGATTCGGAAGTGGTTCAGATGATTAAACAGCTGCTAGACACTCATGTACGTCCTGCTATTCAAGAGGATGGAGGAGATATCGAATACAGAGGATTCGAGAATGGAATTGTTAAATTGAAGTTAAGAGGCAGTTGTAGGACGTGTGATTCATCAGTGGTCACGTTACGGAATGGAATTGAAAGCATGTTAATGCATTATATTCCGGATGTCACTGGCGTTGAACAAGTTTTAGATGCGGACGAGGAAGTCTCGCAGAAAGAGTTCGAGAAGTTGGAGAAGAAATTATCAGTTGTTTAATTAAGGATTACGTGGGACGCCCAAGTAGTTCAATCGCAATTAATGTCGGGACAGATAAAAATTCGGGACAGGAAAAGTGAACAGTTGTAAAATCTCTAGTAGCCCGAATACGCTAGTTAATGTATATGTTTATTATTTTTTTACCCAATAAATTTAATACTGCTAACTTTGTCTACAGTTCTTGATGTACTAGGCCAGGGCCCTTTGTGAAACTAGAAAGAATATTCTTTCTAATAGTAAAATCATCCATCTTATTTTCAGATATTGTTCCCGATTTGAGAATCTTTTCCAATCGGGAAATTTCCGAGTCTACATATCCGGGTTTCTCTTTTATCTTTTCCATTACTTTAACGTAATATTTAGCAGGCCTACATAAGAAAAGAGTTTGAATGAGTATCTGCGTAATGGATTCAAAAATAAAACGAAATAACAAGACGTGAAATAGAAAACCACTCGTACTTGGTGTTTATGCTTGCAGCCTCATCCTCAGCCTCCTTCAAAATCTTGTCAATCGAGTCTTCCGATACTGCATTAATGTATCGTAGAGCAATAGCATCTAATTCTGGAATCTTGCCGGCCTGTCCAAACGGCATAATATTATTTTCATTGTTCAAGAGATGTCAAGATTTTCCGTTGACAAATACAAACCTTTTCATTCAGTCCACCTCCGACCTGACGTTCGGTTCCACACTTTTCATTCAAATACTTGACAAAATCTTCTTCGGATCGACTTTTGTCGTAATCGATAGGAGTCTTGTCCTCACCTTTCGGGAAGAACTTGATAGTTGGAAAGCCTTTAACACCGTATTTTTCACCCAACTCTTTATGGACTGTCGCATCGAGATTAGCTACTACACACTATTCAATTGATTGAAAATTTAGTGAATAGACAATTGATTAACGTATTGCAACATATGCGAGAAAGCAAAGTATACCTCTGATTCTGGAGAAAAAGTTTTAGCAACTTTTTCATAGGTCGGTGCTACAATGATTTGGAAACGAATTGTAAAATAACCAAAGGAATAAAATTCAATATAGAACAATGATTAACGCATCAACTTACCCAGAGACTTACTGAAGAAAGGGTATTTAAAAGTAATTTATACGCGTTATTAGCATCTAATTGTAGGAAAAACAAGAACTTTGAACACACTTACCAGTGACCACACCACGGGGCGTAAAACTCCACCTGTATATATATAAAAATGTAAGTTGACCGCCTAACCCAAACCGATTGCTCCTAGGCCATCATCCGTCACGAAAACTCATGTCACCATACCAAAACATTTTTCTTCTCGTCTAAGACAATACCATCAAAGTTCGAAGCAGTCAACACAGTAACTGCCGTCGTAGCTTTCTTTATCCTTTTCTTTGTATTGGATTTTTGCTCGACAAATGTAGCTAACGATTCAAGATCACGACCTCCATCATAAGTTTCGGGATTATCACTCTCTCCCGGCGGAAACCATTTTAAGGTTGGATAACCTGATACTCCATATTTTGAACCCACATCCTTGTAATTATCTTTTGTTTGGAAGAAGTTAAATTAGTATGAGGAAAAACGTCACGAGATACCACCAAATTTCGTAGACCGTGTACCTGCGTCAAGTTTTGCGATGACAACTTTGTCTTTTACGTGAGCAAAAGCATTTGCAAGGTCTTCCCACGTCTGCATAATACACATATTAAAACGAGCACAACAAATGACAAACTGTTAAAGATCGATTAAATCACATACGGGTGCGAGGTTTTTGCAGTGACCACACCAAGGCGCATAAAATTTCACGAATACACCTTGGTCATGTCCTACAACGTCATGGAATGAGTCTGATGTTAATTCAACATAAGTTGTCGATCCACCAGAAGCCGTCTCATGTCCATGAGCGTACGAAATGAGGCATAATAAAAATACATATGCAAAGTTGAACTTCATGGTTGACCGTTGATTGCAGGATGTGTTGGCCTGTTAAAATATTTATGATGTTTGTGCTACATTGACAGTAGTATGAATGGGCCATTTTACTTATTATACACCCTAAAATGGTGTCTTAGTAAATAAAATCAAATCAGGAAGAATTCATAGAGCAATTGTAAAAGCGAAATTAATTAAAAGTAAAAATAGTCGATTGTTGGTAAAAATTATCTGAAGATGAACGAATTCCAATCTTTCGTAAAACTTATACATTTGCCACGAGCACTTCGGGAGGCGTTTTTGTAAGTTAACGTTTTTTGTATCGTCTTCTTGGTTTATTTCCCAACTCATGTCTCCTGACTGGTTAACCTGTTTTCAGAACAGTTAAATTCAGGAATTCTATCCAGCCGACAACCATTGTCTAAAAAAATGTCAACAAATACTCCTTGTAAAATGTTCGATTAGTCCCTTAATCTATACGATGCACGTGTAAATACACAGACTGCGGGCCATGTCGTTGTGAAAAATTTTATCAGTATTAATGAAATACAACATTATACACTACGCTCCATTCAAGTTTATGAATAACATGAACATATTTTATATTTACGCACAATCTCCATAATAGTTGTTTTATTTGGACCCGGTTTCTGACTCGCAAATATTTGGCACACCGTTGAGATCGTAATACGCCGATTTGTCGAAAACGTATCTCAATATGTTGGTAATTGGTCGCACTCACTTCGAAAACGTCAGAAGCCCACCAAGCAAAGAATGATATAATACCGCGCGCTCATGGTAAATACCCGTGATGGAAAAGTTTTAAACAAAAAAGGAGCAAAATAACTACTTAAATACCAAAATTCACAGTGAAAGTTCAAAACATTAATACTGTACTAGAAATCTCATTAATAAAGCTGTTAAAAATTTTTATCTATAGATATTTTGTTTTGTAATAGTGCATCCTCATCCTGCTTTCTTTTCTTAATACTTATTATTTTTCGTAAATTTCATAGGTAATTCCTTTTTTATCTAAATATGCTTGCAAAGACTTGATGTCGTCAGCTGGTTTAAAAGTATAAGGTCCGATTTTTTTCTTTGTTCCATAATGGATTTAATGTAAAATAGTTTCATATTAATATTAATATTTTTATATACAGAGATAATCCTATATTAATCCTGCTATGGTTTATACTGTATTCACCACATTCTGGTATGATAAAGTGACCATTAACAATCTGTAAGTTATCCATTATTACTTTCAAAACGTCATCAGTCAGACTCAATTTTACAGCCGTATCGTGGCCTCACATATAATGTTCACTTTGTCTGGTTTTAAGCGTTATGTATGACAATGTTTTATAGAAAGCTCATATGATCACGTGGTATTTATTTTTGAAATTGTTTCTCTGTTCAGCCTACTTTCCGTATAATGTGATAAAAACCGGGGAATTACTCACCATGTAGATGCGATCTTGCTTTAGACTGATTGTTTTATCGTACGCTATGTTAAGAATAATGAGTAAATACTCTACCAATTTGTCTACCACAGGTCTGAATATTGGGTCTCGCAGAACAAATACTGGTGTCAGTATTGCAAAATATTTATTGCCGATAACCAACCAGTATGTGTCAACTATTAAATGAATATTTGATTTTTCAGTTACTTTGCGTCTTTCTTATAATGAACGGTCCAACATAGAGTCGTTCCATGCATGAGAATGGCAGAAAACACAAGGAAAATGCCGAGAGATTTTTAAGCAATGTCTACCGACGTGAAGAAGAAGATCAGAAAGAACAAGAAAGAATAAAGCGGGAACTAGAACGAATAGAAAACGTAAACGGCTTTATGCAATGAGTTAATTATGTATATTGTTAAGCAACATTTAATTAACTCTTTCCTTATATCAGGCCGCAATGCGACAGTATAAGAAAGATGTTGCCTTAGCATTACCGGGTTCATCACTGTCTTCACTGAGAACAGCTGTTAACGCCACAATGACTGGGAAAGCTTCGACAGCGGAAGAAGACGCATACTACAATACGCCAAATGCCGATAATTCCTTTTCCCAATCGGTAGCAATACCGATCTCGACAACTGACATAGAACAGGTTTCTGAGGTAACCGAAGAATTACCCCAAAATAGTGGTACCGAGGGTGTCATGGGTGAATGGCGGCCTGTCACGCCTCCCCCTCGACCGCAATCGAAGGGAGACGATGAAGAGAGAAAACATGGAGACGATAAGGATGAAGAAGCAAAGGTGTTGGAAGATGATGACGAAGACGATCATGACGATATAAGGAATTTCAAACTTGTTGAGAAGACCATTCCTTTAGAACCTGATCTTGATGAGAAGGATAAAGAGGATAAAAGTGTGACTTTTAGAAAGAGAAAATTAGGCACCGCAGGTAGAGGTAGAAACATCAGACAAAAGTCAAAAAAATAGTGTTAAAACGTATCATTTTATTGGCTTGATATATAGACAATAACTTATAGAATACGTTCAAGTTGCGTTATTAAAACAACGAACTTGTAATAATGACGGGCTGTAAATACGTAAATTGTATTGTTAATGTTTTGCGCGAAGAAGAAACGGGTAGACAATATAAGAATTAATTATAATTGGTCAATTCTCATTTATTCAATTCTCATTAATTTATCTATGGTGATGTTTCTATTTTGATCTTAACACCCATGCTCATAAGTTCAGTAGCCAAGTATTTGAACGCATAAGGTATTTTAATAAGACTCAAATGCTGTGAAGACTTGCAAGTTCTGCAATCCATCTTCCTCTCCGTTTGAGTCAGCATTCCTCGTCTAACTAACACAGAAAAAATGGACCCGCACTTCTTGCATATTAGGCACTAAATAAGAAACGAAAAGAAACTCAGTAACGACATTTGCGCGATACAGAATCGTAAATAGAAGGCTAACACCTACCTTCGCATAATCCGAGCAATTCAACAACCGGTCCTGAAGGCAATAACTCACTCCATGTGCAAGCAAAGCATCTCTTTCCATCTCTCCAAACCTTATCCCCCCTGCTCGCTTTCTTCCTTTCACTGGCTGCATCGTCAAGTTATGCACCGGTCCAGTAGCCCGTACCTGCCATTTATCAGATACCATATGTCTCAACCGTTGATAATACACAACTCCAATATATATGTCGGCCCGAAATTCTTCTCCGGTGATTCCACTATACATTGGCTCGTTTCCATGATAGTTGAATCCAGCACGACGGAGTTGTTCACCGAAATAATCCATTGCCGGAGGATTTTCATCGGAATCATTCATGGCCGATGTGTTTTCGGCAAATTTGAATGGTGCACAGTCTTGAGCTATTCCATGCAGTGCTCCTGCTTTACCAGCTAAACTTTCTATAAACATCCCAATTGTCATACGAGAAGGGAACGCGTGCGGATTGATGATAATGTCTGGTTGCATCCCACTTTCTGTAAATGGCATATCCCATTGTGGCCACAATTGAGATAATACACCTTTTTGCCCATGTCGGGAAGAAAACTTGTCGCCTATAACTGGAGGCCGCGGTACTCGTAATTTTATGTGTATTTTTTGCGGATCGTACTCTCCCCTATCATCCCCTATCAGGCGTACCTCATCAACGTATGCTATTTCCGTATCTTTATATTTTTTTATTGTTGTAGATCCGGTCGTTTCATTGTAGTATGCGTAAAAAGGGTTTCCTTCCTCGAGACGGGTTCCGATGAAAGGAAGGCCGTCTTTATCGAGAAATTTGCGTACAGAGTCAGGTACATCGGAACCTAACATGAAACGTTTACTCAAGGCTTCTGTACGTTTCCTGGATTCATTCAAGTCGACTACCACGCTTTTATAGATATTCCCGTAAGCGAAACCCCTTTGATGTGATTGTTGGTTTATTATCATTGCATCCTCCATGTCGTAGCCTGTTATACGAGACATTAATCTATCACCGCCTGCGGATCGTTAACAGAGTCAAAATAATCCTGTGTACATACCTGTATATGAGAGCACAGCAACTATTGCGTTGGTTCCATTTAACCATGCATCAAGGCCTAGCTCGTCATGAAGCTTTGGTCTAACTACGGGTGCTTGACCTGTTTGCAATCTGTACAACTTATTATCTGTTCTGTGCACATAGACGGAAGAGGGCGTTCCCATTGTTTGTTTCGCCATCTTACCAAATAATAAGGGTTAATATCGATTAGTTTAACTGTTATTTTTACATGGACCTCGTTGTATAGAATCTTCGACATTACTTGGCACTGATACATATTCCTTGGACTCTGGTTATGGTCTGAGAACGGAGTCAGATTGGCGAGTATACTCAGCATATTGTGTGGTGATATTTCCTGATGCGTAGTCAATCCCGGAATTATTGTATCGTTCTGACATGCTATGTTCATGTATACCTGTTCGAATGAACCAATCATATCTATCTTGCCATTAGGCAAGAATTTAACAGGTCTCATCATCCTAGCTGGAGTTGAAAATAAGTAAAGCCCAGGATATTGGCCTGCTGATGATGGTGGTATATAACCAATCTCTAATTCTAGGGGAATCTACAAAGTAATGCCCATTAATGGATGCAATAGCCTTTCCATCCATTTATCAAATAGATGAGACTTTTTAAATACCTCATGTTCTTTCATAGTCTTCCAATGTCTCAACCTTTCAACAATGCTTTCA